CTCTCTCTCTCATTCTCTCTGTCTCAAATAAATAAAATCTTTAAAAAAAAAAAAAAGAAAAAGAAAAGGAAGAGAATTGTGCAAGGAAAATTAAGAAGTCTTCCTCCATAGACACCTCGATGTCCCAAATGATATCCTAAGACTTCCACTTTATTGATTCACCACCAAAAAATCATGTTATGACTGTTATGTTAGTGAATTGTCTTTTCCTTATTTAACCTAACTCGCAGTCATCAGTTGCTCACATGTTCTAGGAGCTGTCCACATATAGTTGTGCACTAAGGGTTAGTGTCACAAAGGTTGACAGAGAGACATGGGTACTGAGAAGAAGGAAGATGGGCAAAGATAATGTCCAAGAACAGATAAAATTAACCAAAAAAAACTTCAGGTTAATATTCTTAGTCATTTTCAAGCTTTGTGGATCCAGACACCACTGAGGGTTCATTGAAGACTACAAAGTTATTTTTGCTCCTTTTAAAAAACTAATGTTAATAAATATTCTTCAACCCTGAGAAAGGAGGATATCCTGCCATTTGAAACACCATGAACGCACCTTGAGCACATTATGCTAAGTTATACAGAGGTAAGTCGGACAGAGAAAGAAAAGTAACAGCATAATATCACTTATATGTGGAATCTAAAAAAGTCAAACTCATAAAAAACACAGTAAAATGATGGTTACCAGGGAATGTGAGGTGGGGGAGTAAAGATCAGTGTTATTTAAGGGTACAAATTTGTGATGAGTAAATACGACATAGGGATTTAATGCACAGTATAATAAATATGGACAATAATATTATATTATAATCATATAACATGATAGAGGTGCTAAATATTGCTATCACAATTATTTTACAATATATAAATATACCAAATTAACATGTTATACACCTTAAATTTATATTATGTTACATGTCAAATATATTCAATAAACAAAAAATAAAACTAAGGTTAAATATCTGTTATAAAGTATCTATTCTACAATTCTCCTAAGAATCAACTAGGCAGCTATTCAATTATAACATATATACAAGTAATTTATATTACTCAGAACAAATATGTCTAAAGTATTACTTACATGATCTGTTGTTAGTGCGGCACATGGGTGAAAATGATCAAAATAGATGTCATTATGTTTTATCGAACATATATGCTTCTCTAAATCATTGTATCTCTCTCCATAGAGCACTAACAATGAAAAGCAAGAATTTCCAAATCAGTGGCCATCTAAGGACTGCAATGATTTTAAAGTAAAAGAAAAATTCCAAACATACCAAGTCTAACTTTATACGATTCCTTTATTCGGAAGTAATCTTTGGGAGAATTGGCACAACAGCCAGCATCTCTTTTAAAAGCAATATTTTTTCCCATTGTATGGTTTTCTTGTTTCCAGTAGTGTTTTACTGATTGTAGCCACCTTAAAAAATAAATTTACAAATAATTTTACTGTAGGCAGTAATAGAGTACTACTTCCTGTGACATTAAATAATTTAAATAAAGAAAATTTCGCATGCCTTAAAAATTGTAATTAAAAGAATAGGCCCTGGAGGCAGACTACCTGAGACTGAATCCCAGCCTCCTTACTGCTGTCTGTGGCTCTTGGTCAAATCACTTACATTCTTTGTGCCTCATTTTCCACATTCTACATTCCACAGAAATGGAAATAATAATAGTAGTAGTAGAAAAATGATTTAATAGTAGTAATTGAAATAGTAAATCATAAGGTTGTTGGGTATTTAAAATAAATTAATATTTGCAAAACACTTAGAATAGTGCCTGGCACATAGTAGCCTTTGCTATAATTGTTATAAAAATGAGGCAAAAATCTAGCCCAATGACAAAATGATATGGGCCTTTCAATTAGTAAGGTTTTGCTATCTTTCTAAGCATCTACAAAGTGGGACAATAGAAGAAATCTCAAAGTCTGTGGCAGGGGATGTCATTATATTATTTCATTTTTTATTTCTTGCTAAAAGACAGAAAAAAAAAGGAACATAGATCTATCGCTGCTGGTGGACTTTTTTTGACATATGGAAGAAATTTTCTACTCAATAGCAGATCTGGCTGGGACAGTCCTTGATTTTCCTTTATTGAGTGTGGCTTTTCTCAGCACCTGCCAGGAGGTGCTCTAGATGCTCTGTTGCTTGAATAGCCAGAGATAAGTTAATAAACCCACCAGAAAGTTATGAAACGCTTCAGAACCTATAGAGAAAGTATAAAATTTAAAATAGAAAAGCATTTATCCAAACTGAACCGAACATAATGCCTACTCAGTGAGATGCTGAGGGTTACTTATGGTAGCTGAAAGAGCCAAAAAGGGACATCGGATCATGACAAGGAGATGCTCCCAGACTTCTGCTCCAATTTCTCCGCCAAGACAATGGACCTATTAAAAGAAAAAAATTTCTCCTTTAAAAAGATGATTTAAAAATAGCAAATGAAAGTAAGACACAGAAGCTCAAATCACTATACATATTTTCATATTACCTTTAATTGACCATGCCAAGTTTATATAAATATCCACAAATCAGGTAATAGAAAATCTTGACACAAATTTTCTTCAATTTCCATAACCACTCCATCAATAACTCCTCTTTCTCTTACTTTCAAAAATTTCTTTCAAATCTATGCATTTCTTTCCATGTCTAATGCCATCCAAGCCACAATCTCATCTCAGCTACACTGCTGCAATATCCTCCCGACTACCACCTAGCTTCCCTCGGTGCCCCCTACGTTCTTCCAATCACAGCCAAAATGATATATCTAAAAGACAAACTAGATCAGTCCATGTCCCTAATTAAATTCCTTCAATATCTTCCTTTGCACATGGAACAGAATGTTAACTCCTTAACAGGGTGTACATTATACCTGGCATAATTTGGCCCCCTCTTGTCTCTCTAGCTTTGTATCAAGCCATTCTGTCCCATACTGCTCCCCCTCTGCTTAAGACATACTGGACTTCTCTGTGTTACTTAAACACACCTTTCCTACCTCAGAGCTTTCACATGTATCATTCCCTCTGCTTAACATGCTTTTCAGCTTACAGAGTTCAGGCTAATGTCACTCTGTTAGAAGGACTTTGCTGACTGCCCACTCCAGAGATTCCTCCTACCGCTTTCCTGCCATTATCAGTCATGCCAGCCTGCTCTTTCTCTTTACAGTATGTACCAGTGTGGGCGGGCACAGTCACATGTGTACTTGCTCGTATGCTTACTTGTTTAATTCTCTGGTTTTCAATTACTCTGTGACCTTAGACCTGGGCATTCCTTGTACCAACAGTGCCTGGAATGGCAGAGGCACCCCTTAAATATTTGCTGAATTAATGAATGAATGTCTTTTAAATCAAATAAGGCAAACTGAACTCGATTCAGAGAAGATTCTCAAATGTAGTCTTCTTTAAACAGATTAAATTATGAAGCCTGGCAATTAGCTGGAAAGGACCATCTGAGCCAGAGGATTAAAATAATCTTTTCCACAGCCCATTTGGTTTTGGCCTGGTCAGGTAGTATACAACTCTCCTGAATGCTTCATAAAAGCAGATAGTTCTTTTCTCTGGCCCTGCCAGAATAGGCATTAGCCTTCAAAATCCTTCAGCTTTACTTTATATCAAAGTGGGGAAATTAAGGTACCCAATGTCATACCAGTCAGAGTTTTGAAATTAGAGTACAACTCAAGTTCTTGATTACAGAGAATTGTCGAATTTTTATTTTGAACAGGAATATTCAAGGCCTTCAAGATGCAATATATACAGAGTAACCAAAAATAAACACAAAAAATCAGTATCAAACAAATAAAATATATAGCCTGCTTAGTAGCTCCAAGTTTACAACAGGAATAATTAAGTTAAATGCAAGCTTATCATCTTCTTCCACTTTAGGCTGAAAATTCTTTGGAGCAAAGGAATATATCCTTTTATAATACTTTAAATCTTTTTCAATAAATATCTTTGATAAAATATGACGATAAAATGTTATAAATATCATTTATAAATACTACAAAATAAAATATAAT